TACTATTGTTTGCATGACGATGAGGATGATGATGGTGGTGAAGAAGATGACGATGTTGGTGGTGAAGATGATGTTGATGATGATGTTGTTGATGATGTCGGTGAAAAAGAGGATGATGATGATGATGTTGATGATGATGATGTTGTTGATGATGATGCTGATGATGTTAATGATGATGTTGATGATGATGTTGATGATGATGGTGGTTAAAAAGATGATAATGATAGCGGTGAAAAAGATGATGATAATGTTGTTGATGATGTTATTGATGGTGGCGTTGAGAAGATGATGATGATGCTGTTGATGATGGTAGTGATGAAGACAAAGATGATGATGAGGTTTTTGATGATGATGATGTGTGGTGAAGATGATGATGACGATGATTTAATTTATGAGCACGTTGTAGTAAATAATCAAATGACAAAAAAATTTTTTCATAAATATAAATTTTCAAACATAGAAGGCTATCAAAAATCAAATAAATTGTGTTTTGTTGAAACATTGTTAACGATTCATATGCTTAATTATCGTTATATTGTTTTTATTTAATTATTCACATACAATAAAGTGTAATTATTCCTCTATTTTTTTCTACTTCTTTTTCTTCTTTTACTTCTTGTTCTTCTTCTTTTTCTTGTTCTTCTTGTTATATTATTATTATCATCATCATTTCATCATCCCTCTTTTCTATTTAAATAATTAAATATCACGCTATTGTTACAATATAATTATAAAAATTTATTATCAATTTTTTCTTCAAAAGTTTAGATTCTAATGTTGGAGAATTATGACAAAAAATGCAATGATGAATATTTATTTACTTTCCAGGAATTCTGGGAGCTTTTCGCGTTACTCTCGTTCTCTCCAGTGATCCAATTTTACTGACAAGTAAACATTTTTTCAAAAATAAAAACATAAATATTTTACTTTATAACTATAAAATAATTGTATAAAAAATTATTTAAAATAATTCGAAATATCAATATAGATTAACCTGTATTTATCTTCATTCATCCAATAGTTGTCTTAATACTATATATTTAAAAATTAAATATTAGGAAATGTAAAATACACAACAGACTTGCATATTGTAAACCATTCTGCAACTCAAAGACTAGTTAGTTAAGTTTTTATCACTGAAAACAGTAACAGTGTCATTAGCGAATCTCCATGCGTATGGTCATGGTTTAACCGTGCCTGGTTTTAAATGCCTGGTTTTAAATGCCTGGTTTTAAACGCAAAAAGATCCCACCCACATATCACATGCAATGAGTGTGTGTGTTTGTGTGCGTGTGTGTATGTGTGCGTGTATTTGTGTTGTGTTTATGCGTATTATTAATATTTTGGAAAATTCAAAAATTAATAAATTTTCAAAAAACTAGGAACTCGTTGCAAACCTCTGGCTTGCAACCTCTACTGCAAAAATGGACACGTAAAAGATAACAGTGGTTGCGATACATGTGTTTGCAGCCCAGGTATTAATGTGTGTGTATGTGTTTGTGCGTGTGTGTGTATGTGTGTGTAGATAGAATTGCTCCTAAATAGTTAGCTAACTAATTTATTTTATTTGTATAAGGCGTAAACGAAAATAAGGAAAATGTATTAAAATAATTAATATAAACTCAATTATGCGAACCGTTGGGTTATTCACTTTCATTCTACAAAGTTGGTCAACAATGTAAATTTTCAGACATAAGATTAGTTAAATATTTATATATTGACTGATGAGATAATTTGTTGTTTAACACATTTTCGCTTCTTAATAAACATTTTTGCTGTTTAAACTTTAATCAGTTTCATAAAATTATTGATTCTAATGGTCCAAAACTGATCTTGATATAAAACATTCAAAAATTTTCTGGAATGTCACTTTCATGAAAAAAAATAATTTAAAACATTTAAAAAAATAGTTTAAAAGTTGAGATAAATTTCTAGCCAATAGCTCCGTCAAAAAATTTTAAAAATTTCTAAACTTTTTAAAGACAAAAATAGTTTGAAAATTTGGATGAATGTTTTAAAGGCAAAAAATAGTTTGAAAATTCAGATGAATTAAGACCTTACAAAGAACACTCCAACACCAACAGTATGTAGCCCAATTGAGTGTACTAGTAACTGCGACTATGGTTATCAGGACGATGGAAACGGTTGCCCTACCTGTGAGTGCAAGGATCGTATTGACTTCATTTCAACTGGTTAGTTACTCCACCGTTGTCTTTTTAAAAAAATTAATCAGATGTGTTAATAGTCAAACGATTTGTTATCAAATAAATTTTCTGTTTTGTTTACGTTTGTACAAACTATAGAAAAACATATTATTTGAAATATTTAATAAAATATAAATATCAATAAGATTTAATTATAAAAACGGTATCCTTGATATTCAAGGTAATAATTGAATATGTTTATACTTCTCACTGTATATATAAGCTTTTAAAAATTTAGTAACAAGAACTTAACTACTTTCAAATCATTCAAGTCAAGACTAAATTGCTAGGCTGATTAAAAATGAAAAGTTAGAACCGATGGTTAATTCCATAATAAACATTCCGCTATGTTATGTTGATTCATTAAAATTCCAGGCAATAGATCTTTCTATTAGGCTATTTGAATAATTAAAATTATCTAATTTAAACAATAAGTTTGTAGTTAAAAACAAAATTGTTAATATTCAATGCGTTAAACAAACTTACACATTCCATCTACTAGAAATTCCATTAAATGTGGAAAGTAGCCCAAACGCGTGTAGTGATGTGGGATGTAAGATGTTCTGTCAGAACGGTTTCCAGAAAGATGCGAATGGTTGCTACATCTGCAAATGCATGCCTGAAACTTCAGCATGGCCAGGTTAGCTAGCCGGCTGACTTGGTTGATATATATTTCATTAGTTATTCAACTTAAACTTTAATTCTTACTTCATTAATTAGTTAAATTTACTTTAATTAATGAAAACAATTTTTAAATTTAAAAATAAAATTTTTGTAAATTTTATACTATTGTTTCATTCAAGAATTTTATAAATTTTGTTTTCACGTTTGCAAAAATTTTATATAACAAATTTTCATAATAAAGTGTTTTGAAACGGCTTTTAATTTCATTCAAATGATTCTATATGTAGCTTGAATTAATAAACCAAGCAGGCTATCACCAAACAGCAATCTATTTGTATAAATTGACGTTTACTTAATTCCAAATTTAGTTTTAGTAAAATAAAATGGCGTAATAATGTTTGCGATAATCTTCCAAGGACTGCCAACAGTTCCAGTGAGTAAGGCGATATGCGCGCAGGTGATGTGTGCCACCCGTTGCGATTTTGGCTACAAATACGACGCCAATGGTTGCAATACTTGCTTGTGTGTCGAACCTGACCCAGGGACGACATTTCCAGGTTGGTTGGTTGCTTGCTTGGTTCTAACTGATCCTAACTATTTAGAATCAGTTAGAATATCGCTTACTAATTATGAAATATCGTGTTCATTGAATTTGTTACTGGAACCTGAGTAAAAATAAATGTGGTTATTGGCCAAATAGTATAACAAATTTTAGCTACCAGCTAACGGTTAATTTTATTTACAATTTTATTTAATTGTATGCCGTGCATATAAATGGCAAATAATCGCCAATCATTTTAAAGAAGACTTTGAATACGTGCGTTTGTTTGCTTATGCGCAAAATCGATTTCATATTGATCCTATCTTGTTCATATTCGATATTGAGATGGTATGACTTTTCACTTTTAAATAATCGGTATCTTTTAAGCTTGTTTAAAATACATTTCTGTGTGTTAGCCATGTTCAGTTCATGAATGGCTCTACTATATGCATTTTTACAATATAAACCATACGATTGTATTACGTTATTACATTGAGCTACGTTATAAATTCAACTTTTAATAATATTGAAAGGAGAGTGTTTTAATAAAAACCCAACTAACAAATGTAAAATATTTCTTAATGATTTTAAACTTGTTAACACATTTTAATGAACTAACCAACCAATCAATCAGTCAATCAGCCAATAAAATATTTATAGTTATTACAAACCACGCTATTTTTTAAGTAATTGACATAAATAGATTGTCAGAAAATGGATTAACCTTTTCAGCGCCAGTTGTAACCATCTTCACTCCAATAAAAATTTGCCGTAAGAATATGATGTGTAAGATGTTCTGCTCAAACGGTTTTAAAAGAGATGCAAATGGCTGCGAGATTTGTGTATGTGAAGAAGTCGTTGCCAGCACTAAGCCGGGTCAGTTGGCTCACTGCTTGATTTATCCATTTTTTTTCAAATTAAAAAAATTGTATTAGATGTTTAATGTAACTTTTATTGGTTTGACTATAAAAATGGTTATGTAATCAATTTCAACCTAATCCATCAATCATAGAAGAGTTTTATTTAATTTTTTATATTCATGTTTATACGAATTAATTTAAATTGAACGATTTGGCATTTTTTTCTAATTGAAATTTTTTTTTTATAAAACTCAAGTGCCAAATTTGACGGTAGGATGCAGTAACGTAACGTGTATGATGTTCTGCGAGTTTGGCTTCAAGAAGGATGCAAATGGTTGCGATGTTTGTAAATGTAACGAATCTCCAGCCATTTCCTACACAACCATGCCAGGTTAATTTTTAAATAGCTCAATCTCTTCTTAGTTGAAATAATTCTTCATTTTAAATTATTTAAATGTTGTGTAATGAAATATAAATATGATAAAATGTAAATATATATTTTCAAAGTGCAAATCAATCAATCAAAGAAGAGTTTTATTTAATTTTTTAAATTCATGTTTATATGAATTAATGTAAATGAGTAAATTGGCATTTTTTTCAAATTGAAACTTTTTAATAAAACTCAAGTGCCCAATTTGACGGTAGGATGCAGTAACGTAATGTGTATGATGTTCTGCGAGTTTGGCTTCAAGAAGGATGCAAATGGTTGCGATGTTTGTAAATGTAACGAATCTCCAGCTATTCCATACACATCCATGCCAGGTTAATTGTTAAATAGCTCAATCTCTTCTTAGTTGAAATAATTCTTCATTTTAAATTATTTAAATGTTGTGTAATGAAATGTAAATATGATAAAATGTAAATATATATTTTCAAAGTGCAAATCAATCAATCAAAGAAGAGTTTTATTTAATTTTTTAAATTCATGTTTATATGAATTAATGTAAATGAGTAAATTGGCATTTTTTTCAAATTGAAACTTTTTAATAAAACTCAAGTGCCCAATTTGACGGTAGGATGCAGTAACGTAATGTGTATGATGTTCTGCGAGTTTGGCTTCAAGAAGGATGCAAATGGTTGCGATGTTTGTAAATGTAACGAATCTCCAGCTATTCCATACACATCCATGCCAGGTTAATTGTTAAATAGCTCAATCTCTTCTTAGTTGAAATAATTCTTCATTTTAAATTATTTAAATGTTGTGTAATGAAATGTAAATATGATAAAATGTAAATATATATTTTCAAAGTGCAAATCAATCAATCAAAGAAGAGTTTTATTTAATTTTTTAAATTCATGTTTATATGAATTAATGTAAATGAGTAAATTGGCATTTTTTTCAAATTGAAACTTTTTAATAAAACTCAAGTGCCCAATTTGACGGTAGGATGCAGTAACGTAATGTGTATGATGTTCTGCGAGTTTGGCTTCAAGAAGGATGCAAATGGTTGCGATGTTTGTAAATGTAACGAATCTCCAGCTATTCCATACACATCCATGCCAGGTTAATTGTTAAATAGCTCAATCTCTTCTTAGTTGAAATAATTCTTCATTTTAAATTATTTAAATGTTGTGTAATGAAATGTAAATATGATAAAATGTAAATATATATTTTCAAAGTGCAAACCAATCAATCAAAGAAAAGTTTTATTTAATTTTTTAAATTCATGTTTATATGAATTAATGTAAATGAGTGAATTGGCATTTTTTTCAAATTGAAACTTTTTAATAAAACTCATGTGCCCAATTTGACGGTAGGATGCAGTAACGTAATGTGTATGATGTTCTGCGAGTTTGGCTATAAGAAGGATGCAAATGGTTGCGATATTTGTTTTTGTAACGAACCTCCAGCTATTCCATACACATCCATGCCAGGTTAATTGTTAAATTGAATTTTTCATTTTAAATTATTTAAATTTTGTGTAATGAAATGTAATAATAAACGCTTGTAGGCGTTCGCAGTGCAAGTCAACCAAATCAATCAAAGAAGAGTTTTAATTAATTTTTTAATTTCATGTTTATATGAATTAATTTAAATGAACGATTTGGCATTTTTTTCGTATTGAAATTTTTTAATAAAACTCAAGTGCCCAATTTGACGGTAGGATGCAGTAACGTAATGTGTATGATGTTCTGCGAGTTTGGCTTCAAGAAGGATGCAAATGGTTGCGATGTTTGTAAATGTAACGAATCTCCAGCCATTTCCTACAACACCCATCCAAGGTTATTTTTTAAATGCCAAATCCCTTTTTTAGTTAAATTAAGTTATACATATAAAATTAATTACATATTGGTTAAATTAAATTGGTTAAAGTTAAATTAAGTTATACATATATAATTAATTACATATTGCATATAAAAACAAATATAAATATTTGTACCCGTTCGCAGTGCAAATTGTTTCTGCGTTTGAACCAGACTAAGGTAACTTACAATTGGTCTTATTAAGACCGAATAGACGCATGACCCCTAATTTACTTTCTTCACATTTTTTTTTGTCCAAAAATTTTTCACTTCTGTAAATTTAAACCAAATAGTGATAAAAATGATATCACTTAAAAATATTAATGAACATATATCCAGACCTATATACAAACACAAGTTTTTTTTTCGATTTTAAGTGTTTAAAAAATAAATGAAAATTGTTTTAAATTCTATTAAGATTTGTATATAAATCATTTTTATTTATAGTCGTTAAATAAATAAAACAAAGTCCATAAAACTTCAGTGTTCGACACATTCTTCACAGCTTCTATGTGCGACAACTCACAATGCAGTATGATTTGTTCTTACGGTTACATAAAAGATGGCAATGGTTGTGATAAATGTTTGTGCTATTTGCCTTGCGATGTTAGTTATAGCTATCTTTTTTATATTGTTTAACATTTTATTTTTATTTTCAATTTATTAATTTCTCCTTTACTTTAGATGAATATGTTTAACTGTTAAATGTATTTTCTTAAAAATTCGTTAACACATGTAAAATGTAGAGTTGTGAAAATTTATTAAACGAACGATAGATAAGTATTTTTGCACAGGAATTGTTCTGAAATCTATGAAAAGCTGTTAAACTGACATTATACACAACAAACAGACCGTGAGGTGTGCAGATGATCTGGAATGCAACGTTGTGATTGTTTCAAAAAGTACGAACAATCTGCTGAAATATCAGGCGAAATGTCTTCCGAAATCAGGTCAATAAATAAAAATTAATTGTGTTTTTGCAGAGGTAAAAGATGTTTGACAATATTTTCATGTTGTTTTTTTCATTTATATATATATCAATATATGATTTATTGTTTGTTTTATTTATTTGTTGGCTTATTTATGCCGTTAAAAGTGCGATTTTTAATAATTTTTTCGCTTTTGTGTTTGCCGTCGGGATAATGTTTACATAAAAAAACTTGCTCAAAAAGTTGAAAATAAATTCATTACATGCAATCAGGATCTTGTTTGAACATTTTCTCTTGCAGCGTTCTTTTCCAAATATGTGCGATCTAATTTTATCTGCGACGTTGTAAATCTTGAAAAGTTACGAATAAGATTATTGAAATTTTGCAAAACCAACCACTAAAATCTATTTTCACCTATTTTTTAAAATTACTAATGAGTGATTTTAAAATGGCTAGTGCATTTTCACTTTTAAATGAAATTTATCATACATTTTTATAATATATTATTCTCGTTATAATATAATATTATTATTAATAATAATATTATTTTTATTAATATATTTTTGTAATAATCCTGAAAGTTTGTAGTACGGAGCCATGCGAAATGATATGTCCCCAGGGATTCGCCAAAGACAGTCAGGGATGTAATCTTTGTATCTGTCAGGACCCGTGTCAAGTTGGTCACGTGATGAGTTGATTGATGACGTAAGAGTAAAATGATTGCTTTAGAGAGAAAAATTATTCAAATCTATTGATTAGAAATCTGATATTGCTCGTTTTGCAGATTGAATCAAACGATTGTATTTCAAAATTTTAAACTTGATAACAAACTAACGCAAACTCATCTAAGGATGTGAAATGCTCAGTTGGACAGCACTGCGAAATTGTGACCATAGATGGGCAAACATCTGGACACGTTTGTCAAGTTGACGATGACGGTTAGATTGATATCTGATGAACATGATTTCCTTACCTACACTCAACCGCTTTTTACCGAATTATATGATATTTATCTACAATAAAAACATTTTTTAAACGTGAAAGCTTCATTAAATTTAACTTTCAACTTTTTTCTTCCAAGTTACAAAAGAACCGGAGATCTGTAGTGACATTCAGTGCAAAATGGAGTGTCCTTTCGGTTTCGAAAAAAATGAAGATGGGTGTTTCTTGTGTGCCTGCTATCTGCCGTGTGCTGTTAGCTGTGCTGTGGAAATATTTTTTTCGTTAAAACGTTTTGTATATTTTAAACTACAATTAAAATCGCCAAATAGATACATTTGACAAAAATCATAAAACCTAAAAATACTTGGTTAGTTATGATGATGACGACGATGACGATGCTGTTGTTGTTGCTGCTGCTGATGATGGTGAGGACGATCGTTGTGATTATGATGATAATGATCGTAATAATACTAATTAAAATTAATCAAGTGGGAATAATTTTCAGAGCGTGACATGCGACTCTGGCAAGGTTTGTACTACAGTCGTCATACCCAGTGAGACAGACAACCTGCTAAAATATCGACCCGTCTGTGTTAAAAAACTAGGTTTGCATTGCAATACAATACAATACAGTGCAATGTAATGCAGCATAATACAATACAATTCGATGGAATACAACACAATTCGATACAATACAATACAGTACAATACAAGACAATTCAATACAAAACAATACAATAATACAATACATGGCATTAAAACGTTCAACGATCATTGAATGTGTTTTCGTTAGGAAATAATATTTCTAAACAGCTTTAGCGATAATGTTAAATTGCATCCCATTTCGTATCCATTTATATTTTATACCCTCTCATTCACACTGAAGACTGCAGTAGCAAAAACTGTGACCTCATATGCCCATTCGGATTTTTAAAGGACGACAAGGGTTGTGATTTGTGTCAATGTGATGATCCGTGCCAGGTTTGTGGTGATGTTCAGCATGATAATTGTGATGATGGTGTTGTGATAATGATGATGATGATGATGATGATGGTGGTGGTGCTGTGATAGTTATGATTAAGATTATGACGTTACGACAATGATGATTGTGATGAAGGTGCTGTGATAAAGTTAAAGATGATTGTAATGATTATAGAAAAAATAATGAGACTTCAACGACGATAATGTAGTGATAATTATAACAGTAGTGATAATTATGATAGCAACTGTAATTGCGATAACCATGAACGCAATGATAAAAATGCCGTTAAAACAATAACAATGATGTCAGATGTGATATCATTTATGATAAGAATGCAGTTAATTTTGGGATTCAGTTAATTTTGATTGGATGGGCAAAAGTGGAGCAAATTTGAATAGTTAAAAACCCTTTTCCTTTGCTTATAGCATAATTTTGGGTCAGTTTCCTTATATTTTTACGGTGTTTTAATGTAAAACAAACAATCAAGACAGTACATGTTCAGTAAATTTTCTAACACATTGCAACAAAATAGTTGTTGTCAGTTGTTGTTATTTGTTGTTAATAGTTGTTAATACAATATCTGGGAGATGGGCATGGAAACCCCTTTACCCCCCTCACTGACGATGATGATGATAATATGATTGTGGTGATGATTTTGAACAGAACAAGTGCAACGGCAATCAGGTCTGTCGGGCTGGCTCCTGCGTTAACATACGTACGCCCATTCTGTTTGGTTTTCTTTTTTCGCATAATAAAAATAAAAAATAATAATGTTAGTTATAATAATAATAACAATAACAAAATAACAATTAATTATATTGTGGTGATTTTCAAAATAATAGTTACAATAATACATCTAAAACATATACAATAGAATACAAAACAATGCAATACAATACAAAACAGTACAGTTCAATACAATACAATGCAAAGGATACAATACAATAAACAAATGCACGCAATCATACTTTATAATAGTCTAATCATCATCCTCATCACTATTTATCATCCATGATTATCATTATTCATTATCAATAAATTCATCATCGACGTCATCATTATCATTTCACTCACCAATACAGCCAACCCAATGAGTGCACTATGTTTAAGTTCCTACTGTCTGGTAAAATGCGTGCGTCCAACTTTCTCCGAACCCAGTATGTCCAACCAATATGATTGCAGCCAGTGTAAATGCGATGATCTATGCTTAGTACGTGTTTATCTGAATTTATCATCACCACAAATTCATCATCATCTTCTATCATCATCATTTTTCACCATCATTTACCGTCATTGTTATCGTTGTCCAGTTCATTGTTATGATAATTATTTTCGTTATGATGATTATTTTTTTCAAGTATATATCGTTGTTGTAATGATGAGTAATGTTGTTGTAATCGTCATTATGTTCATTTAAATTGCTCTCACCACAACAGTCGTCTTCATCGTTATCATCATTTAAGTCATTATTATATTATTATATTAATATTATTATTATATCAATATTATATTAAGTTATTATCACCAATATCATCATCAATGCCAGCTCAACCATCACCATCATCATCATAATCGTCATCCTCATAGCCATCACCAGTATCATAATAATCAACACCACACTCTACAAAATCATCGTTATAGTCATCATCTTCATTTTCTCTAAAAATCACCATAGCCACCATCATTATCTTCATCATCATCTTCCTTCTTTTCTTCATCATACTCATCCTCATCTTCTTCCTCCTCATCATCATTCCCACCACAAGTACGAAGACTGTGGTTCAAAGAAATGTAAGATGACCGCCGAGACAACATGCATCCTTGATATATGCTTCAACACAACCAAACCAAAATGCTACGATCGTTAGGGGATTTCTATTTTTTGTTTTTCTTGATCATTAATTAATTAATTAATTAATTTTTCTAATTAATTAACTTGTTTAACTAATTTTATTTCGTTTTTTTAATAATTTTGTTGATAATTTATTAATAATAGTGGTATAATAATACTAATTGAAAATTGACAAATTGTTTTCTGCTAATCCAGTCTGTCCGGCGATGGATTGCAACCAGGAATGCGACTACGGTCACCACACAGATTCAAACAACTGCCAACTTTGTTCTTGTTTCGATCCTTGTGATGTTCGTTTGTGTGTGTGTGTTGTGTGCGTGCGTGTGTGTATGTGACTAATTGTTTATATTGTTATTTTGAGATTTCAATACTTATGATTAAATTTACTAATAATGATTAAATTTATAAATTTATAATCCGTACCTAGGAAAAACAGTGTGGCCCGAATGCCTTCTGCTCTATAATAGATATTTTCATAATGTCCAGTGATGGCACGTTTCAGAAGAGCCCAAAACCTCAAGTCACTTGCAATGGTTTGTGGTGGCTGTGGTCATTTTGGTTGATTCGTGTACAAATCTAAATCTCGAAATTTTCATTCTTACGTAATTGGAATTTGATTGAACATATGTCATAAGTTTATTAGTTTATTTTTTCAATTTGGTTTTGTCATTTAAGTTCAAAGTTTTTTGTTTATTTGTATTCATTCATCTTTTCAACAAAAAATATACAAATGTAAAAGGTTTATATAGTTAAATGATCATACATTTAGTAGATATGTGATATGTATTTCTTTGTATTTTCATGGGCTTTTGTATGCAGTTGTTTCTCCTCTTATTTCTGACAAAAGTTTGATCATACAAGAATGTTACCCATACATCATTTTTAAGATATTTCATTTCTAGAAATAATTGATTTTAATATATCGTAATAAACTTTTTAATTACATAATTCAGTTATTACATTAGTTATTTAATTAATTTTTTATATTATATTATAAGTTGTTTTTTTTATAAAATAGTAAATTTAAACAAATTTTATTAACACACCTCTTGAAGATTACATCATGGTACACTCGGTTCTGAAAATTATGGCTGATTTCAGCATCATTAATCCGTTGGAGACCGCATTGTTTAACCTGTAAGTACTTGAGTGTAACTTGTTTGTTTGTTCATCCGTTCTTGTTTGCTCATCTGTTCATTTGTTTTTGTTTGTTCATCTGTTCGTTTGTTCATCTGTTCGTTTGTTTGTTCATCTGTTCGTTTGTTCTTGTTTGTTCATCTGTTTTTTGTTCATCCTTTCGTTTGTTCTTGTTTGTGTATCTGTTTATTTATTCATCTGTTTGTTTGTTTATCTGTTCGTATGTTTATCTGTTTGTTGTTATGTTGATTGCACTTGATTTGCTTGTTGTTGTATGCTGTTGTTGTAATGTTCTTTGTTTCAATTTGAAAGCTAATTCTAATTGATATATTTATAACAAAATTTAAAAAAAAACATTATGAACAGATATAAATTATTTTTTTATTCACAATAAAGACAATTCAGTAGACAGATAGCAGACATGTTGAAAGTCAAGGAGTTTGACGTCATCATAAAAAGTGTATGTTCAGTTCATTATCGTTTTGTCCCTTGTCAGTATTTGTACGGGATCGTTTTTAGTCAACACATTTTTTTAGAACGAGGGTGGGCAAACTTTTTGCTGTGAGGGCCACACTGAGAGATATTTTGCCTTTAAAAGGTCGCATATGTATAAAAATTGCAAATTTTTTCGACCCGGGGGAGACTAAAATATTATTTTTATTTTACATAAATGAAATGAAATGTTATGTATGGTACAGTTGTAACATATATTTTATTAAATTTTATTAATTGAAGCAAATTTTATCTAATAATTCACTTTTCTTTTACTGTCTTTTAAAGAATAGTTTAATATAAGCCATTGATTGTATTAATTAATCACAAAAGATATATGAAAACATTTTGGTGGATTTTGATGTGCGCACGGAAAATAAATATGAAGAGGCTATGGTTAAAAATAATTTAGAGGTTTGTTGGTTGAAGTTAAATGTTCATTTGGTTTAAAATTATTACAACAGTTACTGATTGATTATATGTGAATGTGTAAAATTTGTGGAAAAAACTAATCGTTTGATTTGACATGGAAATGATAGTTCTAATTTCCAACTCTCTTATTTGTATCAAATAAATGTTTTTTTAAATTTTTTTAACAAATTTTCATTTAAAGTTTAGTGAAAAGTAAGTTAAAACAAACTTTTCAAAGAGTATTTTTAACTTTAACATCTTGACTTAACGAAATACAAGAGAACTTGAAAAAATTATAAAACTCAATAATTTTTTCAACAAAACTTTCTATTTTGATAGTCGATCAAACAGAGGAGAAACTTTCACATAACATACAAAGGCCAAAATTATGACGCCTACTTCACAGACAGCCAGGCAACAGCCTCAGGTCAGCCAACAGCTCCAAGCCACACCACCACGACCACTTCTTATTGGTATTTAACACCAGGATGGTTCACCCCGGGTATATTTGACTGGACTTCAATGTTTCCGACAACAACTACTGATTCTTATGATGGAGTTTTATATACAGAGTCCAAACCAAATTCCTCCTACCTCTATCTCATTCTTCTCTCCATCTTGATACCGGTTGGTGTTGTTATACTCGTCATCATGGCCTCTCTGCTCATCTTCTTGTGCTGCATTAAGGTTGTTATTTCGAAATGACTTTTAAAATGGTGAAATAAAAAATGTTTTTGAATGATATGGATATGATGTTTTTGAAAAAAATTGTGGGACTAATTAGACGGAAAACAGAGATGACGAAGCATCGTCAAAATACAATCTAGTTTTAGTTAACTATTTTAGTTAGAACTGGTTTTATCGTTTTCAGACTTTCAATTAAAGTTAGTAAAATAAATGAAAGATAAAACTGATTCAAAATCATTTCCGCAGAAGAAAGTTACAAATGTGGAACAGCCACCCGTTTACACAAATCCGTCTCTTGCGTTTATTTCGGTTGGCTGAAAATTTATTTTTGAATGTGTGAATGTGTGTGTGAGCGTGTATGTGTGTGTGCGTGTGTGTGGTGTTAGTTTGTGTATGAGTCTCTGTGTCTTGTGTGTGTGTCAGTGAACATTTATTTTATTGTATTTTCTTTTTATTACATCGAAAGGATTTTAACTCTGGCCTGTACAGTTCTTACGTTCCGAATTCAGGAGTTAGACTTTTAACTGAATCTAATTCATGTGAAATGTTAATGAATATTATCACAAAATGACACATGTTTAATTTGAAATACATAAATTGAAGGCAATTTAAAATTAAACGTTTTAATTTAAGAAATAAAAAAAATTTAAATAATAAAATAAAAATTAAATTAAAAGGCTAACCCGGTGTATCCACCTCACGTTCTGGACTTGGCCTACGTGTCCGAGGTCAAAGTTCATCCCGATACGATCGAGGCTTAAAAAAGGATCAATAATTCTCGAGATTATTATCATATTTTTTAGATATGATGATTTTTGCTGCTATGCTAATGAAATTTTTTGTATGCTAATGATATTTCAAAAACTTACGTTTTAAAAAAACGATTTTATAACGCTTCAAGACATTGATACTTTTGTTTGAATTGGTTTTTATTTTCAACCATGGATATAATCAATTCTAAAATTTTATCATTCAACAGTTTATAATTGTTTCAGTTTAATAAACTAACAATTACTCAATAAATTGTTATTTTCATGCTGAAATTATTAGTTCCGATTGAAAAACATTTTGGCAGAGACAATTGCTTAAGATAATTTAGCATTGTGTGAGGCGTACCGGCAAACAGATCTAACGAGGTGTAAACTGTCATGCTGCTACTCGCGATAATGATAAGAAACCGATTCGACGGAGCTAATATTTTACATAAAGCAAGTAAAACATCCTCATCTGTACCGTTAGCTTTCTTCCAGAAGGTAGGATCCAACCTGATCAACGTCAGCATGTACTAATTGCAATTTCACACGCCCCGACTGCTAAACATTCCGAGTCGGATTGTGACATCACTAAACGGATCTTGTTGAGGTTTTAATTGGTTCCAATTTGAGAAGACGAGCAAATGTCATCTGTTCGGTGTCAGGGAAATGTGCAATACTTTCCAAAGTTAATAAATGGTATTCATTGCTAATGAAATCCATTAACAAGAAATGAATAAATATACTGAGCACTGGTTAAGAAGTTGTCAACCAACAACTTACCTGTGAATGTGCAAGACGATAAAGGCATGTTTCAGTGCGCTTCTTTGATGCGTAATTTGGTTCAGTGGTACGTTTAAAAGTTTTCGGAACTATGAAATTATTCAAGACGAGTTATTATCATAGCTCAATCGTTTTCAATTTAGAAATATATTATAATTAAATTAAATTAAATACAAACACATATTTGCACTGAAAGGCAGGTTTAGCCAAATGTGACCAACATTGAGCTGATTTTTATCTCACCTCAAAAACGGTCTTTTACGTTGAAAACATTTAAAAAGTTTTACTGACTTTGGATATAAATTCTGCTCTTTGACCCTTTCACCAACTGCACATATAAATATGCACACATACTTGAATTCATATATACATTAATTTTTTTTATCAATTTCTTTTCTGTATTTCTTTATTTAATTTATTTTTTTGACTAGAAAACTTATAAAAAATGTTAACATATAGATATCTAGCTATAGTTCATAGTGCACATGTTATGGGCGTCGGTTGAATTGTTGTACAAACTTAGATTTCCATTCATTAAAAAAAATTTATAAAAAGAAGCAGTTGTAATTTTATTTAAAATTTTAATTCAAACGGTAAAAATGTGTATGACCAATATATTTTATCACCGAAATCAATTGAAATTTATCAATTTCTGTATTTCTAAATTTATTAATCAAATTTATCAAAAAATAACTCGCGATATTTAGGCCTTGCATTTTGGATTCAACATGAAATTGGTAGCACTATCCATGCTTTTCAAATTTTTCACATCAGGGATAATTTTCGAACTGGTTTGAACCCAACACTTTGGTTTGGACATGGTATCGAAATCCACAACGAAACAATCTTTCAATTTCAAACAATAATCCGTGCAGGAGGCTACGGTATTGTACTCGACTTGCTTCAAGCCGGGAATATGCATTTTGGGAGTTATTACCCAGCAGTTATTGTCTTTAACTGGATAATGGCAAGTTAAAAATGTATTATTATAATTTATCATGTTAGATTAATTAATGTTATTTTAATATAATATTATAGTTTTGTTATTATATATCATTTGGATGTAAATTGTTTGTAAATTCTGCTGTGTAGGAATAAAAAATTAAAAAATTTTAGCAACTGTTTGGAACGGCATTCTCTGAACACTGCTTACTTTTGTCGCCGACATTCAGAAGAATATAATCTGTCACATCAGGCACTGACACCAAGTAAGATTTATTGGGGGTGAATTTGTTCGTTTGAATCCAGCATGGAGGGTTGCTGAAGATGTCATAGTCAACAACGTAACAGTCCTTCATGTAGTAGCAGGTCACCAAGCAGGAATACCTGTCGTAGATCCACACGCCGCTCAGGCCGGGGTAACTATGTCCCTCTGTCACTTTCCAGCTAAAATCTGAAAGTCCATAAAAATTCGACAATGAATGGTTATTTGCAATGATGTATTTTGAATGGAAACAACAGCAACCTACCTCCTCCAGGCAAATCAGCAGATGCGCTGAAGACACCGATGGACATCAAAGTTATCGCTGCTAGCATCTTGTTACACTGGAGGTAATCAATGTTAATCATTGTTATTAACAATATTTAACATGAAATGAATAAATATGCTGTGCATTAGTCAAGCCTAGTCAACCAACAACTTGCCTGTGAATATGCAAGACGGTGAAGGCATGTTTCAGTGCGCTTCTTTTATACGTAATTTGGTTCATTCGTGTGTTTTCAAATTCATGGGACCATAAAATTTCTGGCGATGAGTTATTATCATGGCTTTATCATTTTTAACTCATAAATTTATCATATTCGACTATTTGAAATTTTTTGTCTGACGTCTGTTTGTCTCATTAAATTCAAATAGAAACGTCTAACCCAAATGGTTCAATTTAATCGTGCGTTTTCAAATTCACGAAACCATAAAATTTCTGGCGATGAGTTATTATCATGGCTCTATTATTTTTAACTCATAAATTTATCATATTCGACGTTTGAAATTTTTTTGTCTTACGTCTGTTTATATTCAAATAAAAACATCTAACCCAAATGGTTCAATTCAATCAATCAATCAATTAGTTTATAAAGCGCTATTTCGCAATGTTCAACAGCGCTCTTCAATAAACTGTGCAAACAGATGGGTCTTTGTAAGTGATGGAGAAGTAGTCTGAGAAGGAGGTAGAGAGTTCCAGAGAAAAGGGCTTGAAATAGCGAATGCGGATTTAGCCAAAGAGTGTTTAACACGAGTTGAGAAGAAGTGAGAACAAGAAGCAGAATATCCATTGCAGAGCAGAGTGAGGGATAACAGTGCGACTTGTAATTTAGGAAATTAGTATTAAAAAAGCCCAACGCAACTGAAACAAACATTACCAACTTATGTTGCTAGTTTTTAAAGCGAAATTCTTATTTGGTAATAACTCAACTACGGAAGCTATGACGATAATCAAAAACTAGACGATATTCTAAACAAAGGTAAAAAGTTAAAGGTTTTTTAAAATTGATTTTTCATTGATGTTTTTGGTTCTATGGATCAAGAATTTTAGCAAAAATTTATTTTAACCGATGTATGATATATATATATATATATATATATATATATATATATATATATATATATATATATATATATATGAGATTTGCCATATCCATTATATACATCCATGACAAGAAAACGATCGTAAAACGGAGCGTTTAGGTTCAATTAATATATCTGATATGTAGATGTACATAATTGAGTGATGAGAATTAAAAAGATTTTTTAAATTAATTTAGAAAGGCTATGTTTTGATACAATATTTAATGAACGTTAATGGAAAAGCACAGCCAGTGTTAAATATATAATTTAAAACGTACATTTTCAGAGTTGAACTAGCACAGTTTCTGATTTGAGTTTTATTTTTATTCATATTTTAAATATTAATATTTTAAATATTTATGCAGTATAAACTTTAATGAAATATTTAAATTTTTCGTGGTTTTAAAAATGTGAGCAAATTGTCGATGAGTAAAAATAAATTAAAAATTTTAAGCTTAACCGACTTTCAAATTTACAAACGAGTTTTAGAGCCGACTTCTAATTGTTTTGGTTAGTTTTAATTAACATCAATTTTATTTTATGCCCTATTTATCTTGCATCTAAGAAATTTTATTCAATAAATCAAATACTTGGATTTATTAAAAGAACAGTAGTCAGAAGGGAGAATTCGATCATTCTAAATCTGTACAAAACAAAACCCATCTTGAATTCTTGAATTCTGAGCTCAAATTCTCATAATCAATATAAGTTGCTTCACAGTGAAATAAGTATATAAGGTAGACAATGTTTACAACACAATAAATGATTTAGATTACATATGTGTCACTTTGAAGAAGGGAAAAACTCATGTTGGATTACCAGTAAATTTATTTACTGAAAGAATTGACTTTAAAATAATATTCTTTATTCTTTACTCCAAATGAAGTTGGTGTTGGTTTCCATTGGATACAATTTTTTTGGGTCGGCATCAATAGCAGGATCCGTCTGGATCCAACAGCTCGGTGTAGTTTTGGTGTCAAAATCAACGGCGTAACAATTTTTACTTTGGAAGCAATGGTCCGTGCACGATCGGACATCGTTGAAAGGTGCCTGCTCCAATCCTATCAGTGAAAATCCAAAACTGAAAAATTGAAAATTGTCCAATTTATGAAAAAAAATTGTATCATTTCATTAGTGTCAACAAATTTATCAGTAGCTGAAGAAAAATAAAAATTACTTGGAGGTATTATTCAACTAAATTTTCAAAAAAATGTTTGAAGAAATTGTTCTTACGTTTGGCGTCAACATTGACAAGAATGTAATTAGTGACGTTTTCTTTTGATTTCAACAGCGCAGAGTCAACGATGATGTCTGTGGCCTGAATCGAGCATGGAGGCACGGCACTGGCGTCAAAGTTGACCACGAAACAACCTTTCTTATAGTAGCAGAACGACAGGCAAGACTCAGTATTATTTATTTCTATTTCATACAAGCCCGGGAAAGAGGCATTTGATGAAACATTCCATGCCTTTTCTGAAAATTTGGGTACGTGTATGTGTGTGTGTGAGAGAGAGAGAGAGAGAGAGGAAGAGAGAGAAAAGAAAGAGAAAAAGAGAGAGATGTTAATTGTGTGAAAGTTTAAACTGATTCAGTTTTTTTCATAACAAAAAAGTTGAATGAATTCATTACTTCCGCCAGGTAAACTCAACTCTCAGAAGCCACGCAGATAACCCCAACGCACATCAGAAATATTTCAGACCACATTTTAACGACTGAAATTTTTTGAAATAATTTTTTTCAAATCAAATTTTCCCTAAATGGAAAATATCAAAACAACGGTTCGAAGATAAAATAATTTTTACTACCAACCTGTCTTTTCAAAAGTTGATACTTAGTACAACGAGGTCTTAACTTTGGAGTGTCCTTTTTATACTACAGAGTCTACGCGTTTTATCATGTTAGTTAGGATGCAACGCATTTATCAATGATTAAGCTAATTATACTACAGAGTCTACGCGTTTTATCATGTTAGTTAGGATGCAACGCATTTATCAATGATTAAGCTAATTATACCAGGAAGTAAAATTTAGATTAAAGTTAATTTTAAATTTAATTGGATCATTAAGAAAGCCTATATAAAAATTTATTCTGGATTTCTTAGTAAAAACTAATTAAAACAACTATAAATGCGACGTTGTTAAGGTTGTTAAGTTTTTATCTACTTGTCTGTAGAGAAATTTTTATTTAATTTTCTCACCATAAAATAT